GAGTCAGTTTCTTAGCTATTTTTTTGGGGGGGGAGGGTTTCCAGTTTTTTTTTTTTTTTTTTTTTTAGTTTCTTGCCTGTTTTAAAAAATGCATGATTCAATAGTACTTTTCCTTTAAACCATCTATCCAAATACTTATTTATAAGTTTTTAAGAGATTTTACCCAGTCAATACCTATGAATAATTGTCAATAAAACCCCAGTATAATTTGAACACTTATACACAAATAAAATAGATATTAACGTTTTACCCAAAGCTTTTAAGGATAAAAAAATACCAGGTGAAGTTCCCCCAATCCGTGAAATTGTTGTTGCCATAACTTACTCCTGAGTTGCTTTTGACTTGTGGTGACTTCGGTTAACAGAGTAGCACCACCCGATGGAAAGCCTGTAGTCGTTAGTCTACAGGGAAGCAGATTACCAGCTCTTTCTTCCACTGTGCCACTAAGTGGGCTCAAACTATCAACCTTTCAGTCAGCAGCTGGGCACTTAATTGTGCCACCAGGTATCCTAGTGGAGCTTATGTGTGTGACCTATTTCTAAAATTATTTCCTTCTGTAGTGATAGAAAATGTTCCTAGCTTACTTACTACTACCCTCTTTACCTTACTTGCAAAAAAGCCCTCATGTTCTTATCCTCTGCATGTTTTACTTTCTTGTCTTACTAAACTTAAAAATTATATACTTTTTATTTCTCTATGTGACTTTTCTTTACATTCCTTGTAAATAAAATATAGAAGATGAAACATGAGTTATTTAATCCTTATTTTGCATGTTCAGTGACATTACTTCTGTTTATCCAGTTGGATAACCACCATCACTGTCCATTTTGAAACTTTCCCGTCATCTTTATCTGAAACTCAATATTCTCTTAGTAATACATCTTCATTTCTCCTCCCACCCACCCCTGGTGACCATGAATAAATTTTGTTGTCTGGGCATTTGCCTGTCCCAGGGGGAACCACGAAATCCTTGTGTTTCTGACTGACTTCACTTAGCATGTTTTCAAGGTTTATACATGTGATAACATATACAATTCCTTCTCTTTAGGGCCAGATAATACTCCGTTGTATGCATATGCTGCATTTTTTATTATCTCTTCAATTATTTTTGCATGTCTTGAGTTGTTTGCACCTTTTGTCTGTTGTGAATAGTTTATTAAACATTGTTGTACAACAATCTGTTTGCTTTTCTGCTTTAAACATTTGTGGTAAATACCTATGTTTAACTATTTGAGGACCACCACACTTTTCTATAGTGGCTATATCATTTACAGTTCCTCCAACTCTTCACAAGAATTCCAGTTTTTTCACATCCTCGTCAACACGTCTTTTCCATTTTTCTGATCATAGCTATTTTAGTGGGACTAACGTTGTATCCCATGGTGATTTTTATTTGCCTTTTCTTAGGGAAAGGTGGAGGGTCAGAGGAAAAGAGGAAGACCCCCAACTAGGTGCATTGACACAGTGACTTTAACAGTGGGCTCAAGCATATTAGAGATTTGGAGGATGGTGCAGGTTACAGTTTAGATCTATTGGTCATTGGGTCACTATGAGTCGTAGACAATTTGATGGTACCGAAATAAGAGCACTGATGAATGATGTTCAGCCTCCATCTTTTCAACATCTATTGGCCATTTGTTAGTCTTCTTTGGTGAAGTGTCAATGAAAGTCATTTGTTCCTTTTTTTATAGAAATAAAAAGATAAAAATTTTGTATTGGTCTGCTTACAAAGTTCATATACATTGTACTTCACACTATCCTTTATTCACGCTGTGTTTCATACAATCATTCCCATTAATTATATTTTATAAACTTAACAGTGGTATTTGTTCATTTTTTTTATTGTGACACTTGCCTTTGTTTTCGAGTTGTAGACCTTTGTTATCTACTCTGGATATTAAGCACTTCTTAGTTACCGGACTCCTCAAGTCTTTATCCATTTCTTTAGACTGCACTAGAATGAGTGAAAGGAAGGAGTGATTAGAAACCATGTGAATGACAGTTAGTAGTCTTACAAGGGGAATGGAGAGGGAGAGGGAAGGAGGAAAGTGTACATGAATAAATGAATAAGAAAAAGAAACAAGAGGTTTTCATCCCATTCTGTTACTTGTCTCCATTTTGCTAAAAAAATCAGTACACAACGTGTTATATTTTTACAACATCCCTTTAATTTATTTTGCCTTTTGTTGCCTGTGGTTTTAGTATTACATCTAAGAAGCTGTAAGCAAAACTTAGTCCTGAAAGCCTATATTCTGTTTGAAGAGTTTTATGGTTTTAGTTCTTACGTTTAGGTCATTGAGTGATTTTTACTTAATTTTTAGATACAATGTGGAGTATGGGTCCAGCTTTATTCTTCTGCTTGTGGAAATCCAGTTGTCCCCATATAATTTATTGATGATGAGACTGTTTTTTCCACATTGGATGAACTTAACACCCTTGTCAAATATCAGTTGACCTTGCATGTATAGTTTCTTTCTGGACTAATTCTGTTCCATTGGTTTGTATGTCTATCATTATACTAGTGCCAGAGTGTTTTGTTTACCGTAGGTTTATGATATGTTTGAAGTTGGGAAATGTGAATCTTCCTGCTTTATTCATCTTTTTTTTCAAGATTTCATTGGCTGCTAGGGCCTCTTATAATTCTCATTAATTTGAAGATTGGCATTGTCTATTTAGGAAAAAATAACTATTAGAATTTTTATAGTTACTACATTGACTTTATAGATTGTCTTAGGTAGGAGAGGGACCTAAGTATGAAATCTTCTAATCCATAAGCATGGGTTGTCCTTATATTCATTCAGATCTTCAGTTACTTTCAGCAAAGTTTTAAAATTTTATAAGTACAAGTCCTTTCATTTCCCTGATTAAATTTATTCTTAAATATTTTGTTCTTATGTACAATGTATATGGAATTGAATGTATAAAACACAATGTGAATTAAAAAAAAAAGGGAAAAAACAAGCCAAAAAATATTTAAAAAAAAAAAGTACATGGTTTTATAATTATTTGCTATGCATCAGAAAGCTGAACAATGACCAGGGATAATAGGAGAATTGATGCTGTTGAGCTGTGGTGCTGGAGAAAAGTATTGAATATACATCCCATGGACTGCTAGGAGAACAAACAGTTTTGTCCTAGAGAGGGTGAAACCAACCTGCTCCTTTGAGGCAAGGATTCTGAAGCTTCGTCTGACGTACTTTGGACATGTTGCAAGGCGAGATCAGTCCTTAGAGAAAGATATCATACTTAAGAAGAGGGGCAGCACAAGAGAAAAAGACGCTCGATGAGATGGATTAATTCAGTGACTGAGGTAATGGGGGCAGGTATGTTGGAGATGGTGAAATTGGCACAGGATAGGACAGAGTTTAGGGCTATTTTACATGGGGTTACTGTGAGGCATGAGGCACAGGCAACTCAATGGCACCTAACAACATTAAAAATTTTTTTTTGTTGTTCTTTCAGATACTGTTATAAATGGAATTGTTAGCTTAACTTTTCAGAGTGTTCATTGCTGATATACAAAAACCCAACTAATTTTTGTGTGCTGACCTGGTACCTGCCAATTTGCTGATTTATTTATTTCTTTGCTTTAATAGCTTTTAATGGGTTCTTTAGGTTTTCTGTATATCACATTATGTCTTCTGAGAATAGATATAGATTTACTTCTTCCTTCCAAATTTGGGGGCCTTTTATATCTTTTTCTTGTCTAATTGCTCTGGCTAGAACTTCCAGTCCTGTACTCCATGAAAATGATGAGAGCTCATCATTTTTTCTGTAAAATCTAGCTGGCACTGTGCTGGACAGCAGGGCCATTACACGGAGTATAAAATGCATCTTGTATCTTTGAAAAGAAAAATTATAAAGGGGATAAAAAATGATGAAGGGAACTTGTTAATGAATAAAGACCCGGAGGAAATTGGGGAATAAGGATCCAGTAATTAGAATTTAAAATGCTTGTTCATCAAAGGATTTTATTAATAAAATAAGAAGAGACAACCAACAGAGTGGGTTAACATTTGGGGTAACCATGTGTCAGAGAAAGGGTCATTATCCACAATATTCAAAGAACATTTACAAGGGTTTAAACCAGAATATTTAAGGAACAACTACAAGGGTTTAAATCCTTGGTTTAAACAGCAACAGTGTGAAAGCCTTGAAATAGATGTGAGCTTAAGTGCTCGATAAATAGCCATGAGAGGCCATTGACATTGGGGTGGAGGGCAGAAAAAAAGGTAGTAAGAAATATGTCAGGAAATAAAATATAAGGCCTTGTAAAGCTGGTGAAAATGTTGTATTTTACTCTGAAATGGCCAACTTTGGACCAATCTGATTTGTCAGAAAGATCACTCCTGCTTCTGTTAGGATAGACTGTTAAGGGCAAGAGTACAAGCGAGGATACCAGTTAAGAGACTTGCAGAACTCCAATAAGAGTAATGGAGGTTTGGATCAGCTTGACAGCTTCTGCCAAGCCTTTGAGGTAGGACTTGTGTGATGGGTTGGATGCAGGTATGAGGGACCCTGGAGAATAGCAGTTATTTGTAGTCAGAGCACCTGTTTATAGTGGAACTACCATTTACATTTTCAATATGAGCACACTGGAAGAGAGGCTGGTTTGCAAGTAAGCTATGAACTTTGTAAAATGGAAAAATCATTCTGCTGTATGTTATTATCAACTTTTAATACCACACATGGATTTAAGAGGGAAAGGAGACTAATTTGTATTATAAGTTGGAAAATTATAGAATCTGAAGATGAGTTGAGTCTAAATTGAGGGAGATGTCAAATGATCATACATGAGAAGTATCTGTAATTTAGTTATTTATAACAAATATGTGGAGAGAATGAGAAAGTTGAATCACTTAACCAAAGCAGAACATCCACATCTCATAGACTTCTGCCAAGGGTCCTGCTCTTCACCCAGTGAGTGTCCTTTACTTTTTGGAGTTGTTAGTTATTTTCCTTACAGGCAAATAAACTTCATTGTTTTCTTCTCTTTCTAGCTGGGGAATGGCAGTCAACGTGTATTCTACCTCGATAACCCAAGAGACTATGAGCAGACATGACATCATTGCATGGGTTAATGACATAGTATCTTTAAACTACACAAAAGTGGAACAGCTTTGTTCAGGTAAGACACCATCTTTTTACCTGAATGTCTGCCATTGTGTGTAATGGTATTGAGCCAGAGATGATATATTTTGAATAGGAAAATGTAAACCTCAACGTTGCTGTATGGTTGAAGGGGAAACTCATGTAGAACAAGAGAACCTAAGAAGGCACGTTCACGCGCATCTGTAAGCACAGAGCTGCCCTCTCAGGTCTTGTAACTGCCTGCTACTTGAGCTGTTGTATCAGCTTCTAACTGCTCTTCTTGGCTTCTCTCTGTTATCCCTTGTAAGCCACTGCACTTATCTTCCTAGAACACAAGTGGGTCCTAGGTCACCATCAGAACCCTTCGGGGCCCCATATTTGTGTGAATTGAGATACACTTCAGACTTCTCTACTATAGCTAATAAAGTCCTTTGTTTGAGGAAAAACCCCCAACAACTCAATTGCTCATAGACTTGCAGAAGAGTACAGAAGCCTGTCTTGGAGGAAGTTTATCCTTAGAGGCAAGGATAGCAAAACTTCATGTCACGGTACCTTGGGCATGTTGTCAGGAGAGGCGAGTCCTTGAAAAAAGACACCGTGCTGGGAAAGGTGGGGGTCAGAGAAAGGGAGACTCACCCTCAGCAAATGGATTGTCAGTCCATCATTTAGTCAGCATTTAGGGTCAGGGTAGACCATGCTGGGCTGACAATGGATCCGAGCGTGCCCGGGATTGTGAGGATGGCACAGGATCGAGCCAAATCCAGCTCTATTGTGCGCATGGGTCCTGTGAGTAGATGACGCAAAAGTGCCTAAGTACGACAGCAACAACAGCCTATTAGAAACAGCACATACCACTTTGTCGTAATTGTTTGTGAACCACTTTAGAGTAACAATTTTGGGGGTTTTTCATCTTTGGATTCTGGTGCCTAACACAGTGCCTGGCACATACTGTTAGCCCAGAAATGTTCCTTTCAGCAATGAATGAAAATCACTTTGCATGGATATGATGCTGGGAAGGGTGGGGGGGTCAGTGAAAGAGAGGAAACCCCCTCAAACGAGGTGGATTGACATGATGACCACAGCAGTGGGCTCAGATGTATCCAAGATGATGAAGCTGGCACACAGTAGGACAGGATTCAAGGCTGTTGATCATAGTGTGGCTGTGCATCGGACTGGACTCGATGACACCTAACAACCACAGCAGCAGCAAGAACGCAGAGACAAAAACAGATACCTCACTCACAAAGGAGCTGTGTGTTTGTGTGTGTGTATGTGTGTTTGTGTGTGTATATAAATATATATGTGTATGTATATATATGTATGTGTGTGTCTGTGTGTATATATATACACACATATATATACATATACACAGACACACACATACATATATACATGTTTATCAAGCAAAAGAGATACCAGAAGAAAAGGATACAGAGAAGAGAATATATGTAGAGAATATTCCTTGTCATGGGTCTTAAATGATAGAGGAGCTTCCTGTGCAAACCATGTAACAGTTGCAAATGAGATGAAGGCAAATGAGACTAGCTTCTAGAATAAAGGAAGCCCTGGTAGCATAAGCCATAGGGAACCTTACCTCCCTGGCAGTTAGGCTGCACCGGCTGCTCCAGGGGAAAAAAATGGGCAACCTTCCGGGTGATTTACAGTCTTAGAAATCCAGTGGGTCAGCTGTGAGTCAGTTCCAGCTCAATGGCAGTGAGATTTGATTTTGTTTTAAATAAACTAGGAATCTTGTATAAAACTATGCCTCATTTCTAAGCCTTTAAAGTTGTAGTTCAACAGAATGTGCAGCACCATCTGTGTAAGGTTCTTGTAGCATCCCTTATGTGCCGTTCTCCTGAAGAAGGTTTTGGGTGTACATTTCACACTGTTTGTAAGGACTGTATTACCAGATGTTGCCGGTTGAAAACCTGTAAAAGCAGTGTTGCTCTCTGCTGAGCAGATAATTTCCATTAGGTTAACTCATTAGATACCTAGGGTGACAAGGTTGGCAGATCAGAAGATTACAGTGGATTTAGAGGTTCCTTTGTGCTCTTAGTAAACACATTTTGCTCAATAATGCTCCATGATGGAGAGACCTGTTCTTTTGAGCAGTTGTTTCCTCAGAGGATGATCTCTATCTGCATTGTAAATCGCCAGTGACTTCCTTACAAATGCAGATTGTTGGGGTCCTAGACCTTCTAAATCAGAGCCCCTGGCTGCCAAGCCTAAAAATCTTCATTTTGACAAAACCCAAGTAATTTTTCTCCAGCCTAGAGCTTGAGTCTATCTATTTTAGGAAAAACCCCAAACCACTAAAAGTAAAATAGAATTATCCAAGCCTTTCTGGCACCATCTCCTTATTCATAATTTAAAACTCCACTTTACTGTTGTCTTTAATGATGACCTTTAACAGGAGGACACTGTCTTTCTGTTTGTTTATGAGTTTATTATTTATGCCCTTGATTGTTCTAGAAAGCATTTAAGGCATCTAGAACTAAGAACAAAACCAAATATTGTTGACCTAAGTGATTTATCCACATTGTAGATATGACTCATCATGTTTTCTTTACAGATTTTCTTTCCTTTGATTTTACTTTATTGCCTTTAAGTTTACATGTAGGATTTTTTTAAAAAATCTTTTATTTTATGCTGGTTTGTTACAGAGTTCATATACATTGTTTTTCACACTGGATCTCTCCCATTTCCACTACTACCCACCTCTACCCATCAAATTGTGTGACCCTAGGATTACCTCCCTGCCATCCTCACCCCTCTGTTCCTGTCTACCCCACCTTGGATCCTCATACCTATTTTACAAGGTTATCTTTCTCTTTCTACAATAATGGTCTTAAACAGTATTAGTCCTTATGGGAATGTGTTAGTTCACTTAGCATAATGTACTCCATGTAGGACTTTTGTCTTAGTATATGTACTGGTAAAACATACAAAATGCCTTCACATATGTATTCTTTTTTATTCTGCAGCAAAATGATCTCTTATTCTGTTTCCTAACTTCAGTCTTGGCAGACCCTATTTTTCTGCAGTTTTTCCTATTTTCCATCATTTCCTATTTTATTTCCAGCTAAAAAATTTTCCCCTAGCTAATGTTAAAACTAACGTCAACTTTCCTATAGCTCATAAAGACTTGGAAGAACTGCTTAATATGTGTATTCCATTTTCTTCAAAAGTTCTAACTTTTATATAACAATTCTTTTCTTTGCATGTCATCATTCTTAAAAAAAGCTTTTTAAAGGAGTAATGAAATGAGAAGGTATAACATTTAAAAGTACCTTGCAGTTGAGTTCCAAAACCGTGACAACGATTTGCTCTTGTCTCCTGTTTTGTTTTGCTTTTTCAGTCTCGTGGTGTCTGTAACCTACCAGTGTTTCTTTGAACATTAAATCGAGGTCATGTAATCCTGTGCATATGTGGCATGTATTTATTTCTTACCAACCCAAACGTTTGAGTAAAATCACTGTGCTCTATAAATTGAGAGTGGTATCGGTAAATGAAAACATTATTACCTGCAACAGTTCAACAGTATTATTCTCTCCTGGATCTGATGCTGGCTTTGAAAATGAAAATGAGTATTTTTTTAAAAAAATAAACTTTGTTTTGTTGTGATTTTAACGAATGCTTACAGAAAAGTTGAATTTTCATTCATTCATTTTTTGTTGTTGTTGCACATTTTCTTATGAAAATGAGTATTTGTGGATGGCTTGGAGTGGAGTGAGAGTGAACAAAATGAAATAACAGATTGTTCAGCCCAGACATATTATGTGTTCAGGCTTCATCGACTTACTTATAAAGCTAGGGGTAAAGCTGAAGAGAGTATTTTGCTTTTAATTTAGTACCAGCTTAAACTATTTCGTTAGATGTTTTATAAGCCCTTCTAGAGTGAGGAGAAATGGACAGCAAAGTGATAAGAATCTCTGAGGGGTGGGAAAGATATACTACTATTAAACACCTTGTTGGTGTCAGGAGATGCTGTCTACACAATTCTGACTCCTGGGAACCCCATGCTGCAGAGCAGAAGGACATCATAGTATTTTTGATGCTGTCACCTTGGCAGGAAGCAGCTCTGGTGGTATAGTCAGTAGAGGAGTTGTGCTGCTCACTGAAAGGCTTGTGTCTCTGCTGGTTCAAATCCGCCAGCGCCTCTGCGGGAGAAAGATGGCCATTCTCTTATTTGATTTACAGCCTCGGAAACCTTACAAAGGGTCAGTAAAAGTTCTGGCTCAGCTGCTGTGAGAGAGAGACTGGTTTCATAGTTCAGTTCTTTTCCAAAGCATTTCACTGCTTCAGTAAATTTTCATTTGACTTCGAAATCTGTAGGTGCAAATGATTCATAAACTTGGCTGCTGATTGAAGGCTGGTGGTCAGATCTATCCCAAGGTGCCTCAGAAGAAAGACCTGGCTGTGTAGTGCTGAAAAGTCAGCCATTCAGAACCGCGGTATAGTTCTCTCCTTCCACACATGGAGCCTCCAGGAGCTGGAGTGGCTGCGGTAGCCGGTGATCATTTGAATTAAACTGCTTTTAAATGGAAAAGTCAGATATTTTCTTGACTATCTTTTTAATACAAAAGCAAGGAAAATGATGAGGATTTTATTTTGTTTGTGCTTCTCAGATTGGTTCTTCTAGGAAAGCATCCGAATCTGGCTGCTTATGTGGCCTCACGTTTACTCTTCCAGACCCCACGTTCCCACCTTCTGCCATTCAACAGATTCTGCCTCACAGTTCAGACCCTGTAGGGCAGCCCAGAACTTCTTGTCAGTTCCAAGTCTGTGCATCTTGACAGAAGCAGGCTGCCACCTCTTTCTGTTGGGGAGCAGCCGGTGGGTTAAAACCATTGACCTTTTTAATTAGCAGGTGAAAGCTTTGCCCACAGCACCACCCAGGCCTTGGACCCCACATGTTGGGATTCTGCACAGGTGCAGCCAGTAGCTGAGTCCAGGGCCCTGTGGTCCCGGTGCCACAGACTGGCCCGGGTGGCATTGTTTGCTGAGCCTGGGGGAGCGTTTCTGTAACCATCTTTG